TGTTGCCAAGGCTACGCAACCGCCATAGGCCAAGCAGATCACGCAGCTTTGTCAAGCCATCGCCAGCTCTAAGCTGCTCTAGCGCAAAGGTTGCGGCGCGCTTCTCCGCTCGACGTCGAAGCGCTGGCCAAGCCACTGTCTCCGATGGCCCGACGCCGCATTCCGCCGCCATCACCGCCAAGACTCAAACTCACCGCCTCGCTCAGCTAGCTAAGAGAGAGGGATGACCCTAAGAGAGACGCATCGAGAGATAAGGGTAAGTTTGTCTTTCATAGGGCTTTTGTTAATTTTAATTGCTTTGATCCGTATGTAGATAATCGAAGTTAAGAATTGGGGTAAACGAGCCTTCGCTTTAGAAAAGTAGGGGTAAAAATACAAAGTGGAAGAAAGTGGGGTAAAATCACAATTGGGGTTTGAAATAGGGCAAAAACGTAATATTCGAAGGGCAAACTTGTCATCTCGTCAACTTTTTTAACAATCAAGCATTCATTGCTCACTTGAGTAAGGTAAACTGAACCTTCGTTTTGGAAAAGCAGGGGTAAAAACACAAAGTGAAAGAAAATGGAGGTAAAATCACAATTGGGATTCAAAATAGGGGCATGAACGCAATAGCCCCATAATAAAAACACATAGATTCAGTCATACAAAAGACCAGCTACACAGCACATTGCCCAAAATCAGGATAACCATCCTCAGAGTTTGAGAATGCAAATGAAAGTCAACTAAGAAATGACAAATTCTACTTGAAGCAGATCAACTTATATATTGTTTATTCGCCACAACGAACAGGGGAACATCATGGGTGGTTCAACTAGAGCTCTTAATAACAGCATGGCTCACATGGACATGGAAGACATGGAAAAAACCCACACCCATACACACATACAGAGAAAAAGACACACACACACACACACACAGAGAGAGAGAGAGAGAGAGAGAGCGCGCGCTACCAAACACAGCAAACTCCAAAGGCAAATGCAACTAAACTAATTAAACAATCACAACTCACAATCACACTCACGTTCACACACACACACACACACACACACACACAGAGAGAGAGAGAGAGAGAGAACAAACACACACCCAAAAACAATATGACATATAGAGGTAAAGTTATTACATACCACTTGGCTCTCAGGTTAAAGATGGTAAAAAAAAGTAGGTAAGTGCTTTTTTAAAAAAAGGAATGATTTATATTACTTACAGCAGCTCCTGCATTTTAGAACCATAGTGCTTAGCATCGAACTGAGAACCCCCAGATGCCATTCCTACCATGACTGTACCCAACAAAAAAACATGTTAAGATACAGAAGTTATAGTACATGTGAACAATATGACAGGCAAACAAAAAAGGTTCAATCAGGAACCTAGATCAAAAGGGTGTATACAAAATCATGAACAGCGGCACAATTTAAGCTTATAACAGAACTTGCCTAAAAGAATACAGTAAGAAAGGTGTTTGTGCACAATACAAATTTTTAAAGATACAAACGATGACATCCTTGCTATTTAATCTTGAATGAGTGCCTAGCTTCGATGACAAATAATTAGCAGGCTCAGTTAAAAAAAGAGGAAAAAAAGGAACCACTTGCTACTGAAAAGCTTCAGTGTCTCAGAGGAAAATGACAATCACTAAGCAATGTCACACTCACATTAGACCAAACATCATCTAAAAAATAGACACCTAATAGTAACAAAAATATTTAACAAAAAAATACTCTCTACCCAGTGCTAATCATAGCCGTGGAAAAACAATGCTAAAGTTCAGTGTGCAAATATGTTTACAGCCAGCTCACCTACTACTAGTAGTAGATATACATATCTCTACAAACTAGCTAGACAGGGTGTGTTTTTTTTTTTTTGAAGAAACTGGAAGGGCTTAGGCCTTTATTAAACAAAAACCATTTCAGCGAGCAATAGAAAGCAAGTAAACTAGCTAGACAGGTGAAATTGGTTAGACAGATTTATTAACTGTCATTTGTAGTCCTCAAATATATCCGTGGTCAAATTTCTAGTAAAAAAAATAGCAAACTAACAATTTCTACAACAAAGGCACTGACTATCAGCTAAAACAGAAAAAATCAAAGAAATAACTCACAACTTCGTTTCAGGGCAACACGTGAACAACAAGCTTAGAAACAAAGTCTGAAGGATATGTAGTGTCAGATACATTTTCACATCTCACGGCTAACAAGCAAACAACTGAAACCAAAAAAATACAAGTTTAGAGATACGAATAACAAGCTAACAAATAGCAGGTTCCTATTCCTAGTTAAGCACTGTCGTAAATCTGAATTTAGTTAATTCCCCAGCCCCATTGTCGCCGCCACCGCTGCTGCCAACAACATCATCTGCGACACGGCGACAGCAGCCGCTACGACCGCAGTTGCAAGCACTAGCGGCTGTTGCCAGCAGGACACGACCACTGTGAACTCGAGCTCACCCATGGAGGGCGCGGCCGGGGCGGGCTGGTGGTGGCCTGCTCTGCTCTACTGGGCTCGGGTGGCAAATGACTGTGCCTCTGCCTGCCGCCAAGCCAACAACATACACTATAATGTGTGATGGGCCAGCTAGCTGGCGGTGCATATTCTTAGGATTAGAGTAGTTTTAAAGTGACGGCCAAACCCATGCATCAAGCTAGCATGGCCATTACGGGGGGACGCTTCATTGATGCCACCATCATCAATTGTACCATGCGAAAAAAAACAAACAGTTGGCGGGCACCACGTCAACAAGAAAGCAAACTAGATGATATCACAATCAATTTAAATAAAAGCCAAAATGATGTATTGTTGTTAAGTGAATACTGGTTCAAGCAGAAGACAACAATGCAAATGGAATTGATAAAATGGCTTATATTTTGTGGGATATGTTTGTATCATATGAAGGCAAGCGTATTAGTGAAGATTATACGAGACATGAGGTTTTGCATATGGAATGGTCTCATTTAGAGAGCTTGCTCAAGGAAACCATTGATGATGAAGATTGTAATCACTATATATGGATTTAATCATATGCTTAGTGTTGATTCAAATCATAGTGTGACTTGGGATAGCTTGAGAGGGTGAAGATAGCAAGGAAAGGGTTTCAAAAGACCAAGTGAGGGTGAAGGGCAATCGACGATTTGGGCGTCGAAGGGCCGAGCTCGTGGTGAAGAAGAGAGTACTTGCATTGAGTCTTGTCACTAATCAAGCTACAGAAAGTCATATTGTGAGGAGGATCAAATCACTGTTGAATTACATGAAGAAGTGAAGTAAATCCATATGAGTGGAGTTGGGTCAAGTCACATGCTTGAGATAGGCTATGCTCAAATAAAAAGTAAAGATGAACATGGTGGCATCCTCTAGTGATGAAGATTGCAAGATATGGCATTGGTTGAAGAAGTGAAGCTCAAGAGGATTGAATTTGTTTTTCATTTTGAACTTGAGTTGATAGGCTTGCCGTACTATAAGAGGGATGCAACATGATGATTGTTGATTTGTCTATAGTGCTTAAGACAACCCATGTGAGATCTAAGAGAGAGCGCCAAGGAAACTAATTATGTGTGTTGTGGCAAGCCATACCAAACCGGTTCGGTATGAACTGTTTGGGGTTGGAATTTCTGAGGATTCTTTGATGAAAATTTTGACCAAGGTCCCTCTGGTAAAACTAATTTTCTTTAATTAAAATTTCTGATGGTGGTCAAATTTTTTGAGGTATGGAAGTTCTTTGTGCTAACATAGGCTCTTAGGCAATACCAGACCGATCTGGTATGAACCTATAGAGCCCTAATGGCTAATAACGGCTAGTTTTGAAAGTGGGGTTATAAATACCCCTAAGCCCTCATCTTTGAGGGCTGATGATTATGGTGCATCCCATAGACATTCTACAGCCCTTGAGACACTCCCTACACCTCTCTTTGTGAGATCAAGTGATTAGTGAAAGATCCAATTGTTGGGTTGAGTGAGATTCAAAATAATGAGCAAAAGAGAGCAATCCAACACTTAAGCACTTGTGGTATTTGTCGATCTATGGAAAATGAACCTTATGGGCCATTAAGTTTGATTTTGATGTTTGATGAACAACATTACCATTTGGACTAATGTTGTTTGCTAGTATACAAGGTATAGTTCAAATAGATGCAAGGTGGACTTAGACTTAGGCAAAGTGGTGATCTATATAACAAAATAATAACATATTTATGATACCAAATATGTATAATTAGATTCTTCATTAATTATATTTTTATAGTATATCTATTTGATGTCATAAATGTTTGTAATTCTCTCTATAATTTTGGCCAAACTTAAGATACTTTGATAAAGTTGGAATGACTTATATTGGAACGGAGGAGTATCTTATTAGTGCTCGCATTTTGTGTGAACCTGAATTGCATGAGAAACTTCAAGTATGTGGCAATCATATATAGGCCAAAAAAAAAACAGACGAAAGCAGACATGCATGCACATATGCCGGTGTGGTTGCAGGTTTGATCGGCTGGTGATTTTTCTGGCTGCACTGCTGCAGCGCTGTGTGGCTCATTGGCTCATTGCTATTAGCTAGTAGTACGTACAATTGAAATCGATTTGCGTTTTCGCAGCCACAGCCGCACTTACAGCCATAAAACTGCAGCGAGCGCACCCTAGCAAGCACGTTGACGTTGTTTTTTTTTTTTTTGAGTGGACAGTGTTGACAGCCAATCTGGGTCTGGCGGGCTGCGTTTTGCGATTTTTATAGCAATTATTACGAGTACGTGGGCCGCTACGTGTGTACAGGTTGGATACGGCCCAACAAGCAGAGCAGTGGCACGGGCACGGCAACAAACCGCCTACCCCCGACCCCACCCCCACCCCCACCCCCGAGCTTATCCCCTCCCAACTCGGCGACTCCTTCCGACGACGACGAAGCAGCGGGAGGAGCGTAAGCGCCGCAGATCCCGAGCCTCCGACTCTCCTCCTCCCCTGTCCCCTCATCCTCCGCCTCGTGCCACAGATCCCGACTTGCGCCGCCAGCTAGCCATGGCCCGCTCCTCCTCGCAGTCGCAGTCCTCCGTCGGCGGCGGCGCCGGCGCGGGCGCGCGCCCGGCCACCGTCGGCCCGCGCGGCACGGCCGCAGCGGCCGCCGGGATGCGCCGCCGCCGCACCACCTCGTCCGCCGGGGGAGGCGGCTTCTCGGGGGGCGGCGGGAGCAACATGCTCCGCTTCTACACCGACGAGGCGCCGGGGCTCCGCCTCTCGCCCACCATGGTGCTCGTCATGTCGCTCTGCTTCATCGGCTTCGTCACCGCGCTCCACATCTTTGGCAAGCTCTACCGCTCCCGCACGGCCGCGGCCTCCGCGTGATCCGATCCGGTCCCACCGCTCCTGTGGATCCACACATCGGATCAGATCACAGTACCAGATCAGACGGTTTTTGGGTGGTGAATTATGTATGGCGAGACGCCCAGCTTGTTGTGTTGCCTAGCTTTTGCTTGATCCTTACTTTCTCGAGTTAGATCTCAGCTAGATCTGCAGATGAATGAGTGAAAACCCTACATGTCAACTTAATGGTGCCCTTTCTGTTATTTTGTTCTAATTCTGCTTATGAGAATTATTACTGGAATAATTATGCCTAGTTTCTTATAATTCTGCTTGTGAGATCACTAGCTACATGTGCATCTTCCTAACTTAGATGTGCTCCGGTGTCTGTTGCTCCATTAATTACTTTCTGCACTAACCAGTGTTTGATTATTACCTAACTAGAGAGTTTGATTGTTTGTCTGCCTGTTCTGGTAAGTTGGTCACAGAAATCTTGCTTCACCTATCACCTTACCTGCTAGCCTGCAACCACCATAATTCTACATCATCCTGTGTTCCTATAATTTGTTAGTGTTTTTTCAGCAAGCTTTTGTTCTGAAATTATAGCTTGGTTTCGGCTCTAGCAACCACCATAATTCTACATCATACTGTGCTCCTATAATTTGCCAATGTGTTTTTTTGCGAGCAAGCTTTTGTTCTGAAATTATAGCTTGGTTTTCGGCTGTTGTCTATGACTTGTAACTGGCTTGCTGGTATTAGGGAGAATATGTATTTGAAGATGTTGCTTTGAGTGATTCCCTGATAAGGAACCAAGGTTATCCTAGATTTGTACAAGTAGTTATATTCGACATGATGTTGGTGTGCGCAGGATTCTATTCAGGGTCTATTTGGAAATGTACTTCTGAGATCCAAATCAATCCAGTTATATTCATCATGAGGTTATTCCAACATGATGTCGGTTGATTTTTAAACGCAAAAGTTAGAGTTAACAGGCATCTGACAGCTCCAGGTGTTCCTGGTTGCATTAGGCATGAACTGATTTGCTGATATGAGTTGATTTTTAGAGTGTTTGTTTTGATGAAGGTTTAAGCATATTGGGCAAGGGTATGGACCATCACTTATGTTTGGCCAAGTCTTCACACTGTTTTTCATGATAACAGTACTACCTTAGCTTACATCATCAAATGGCTCCACTGTTTCTAACAGTTGATTTTGTTACAGCGGGTTTAAAGTTATTGCTACAAGTAGTACTGATAGTTTGTCTCCCATTGTGGGAACTGGGAAGCCCGTTTCAGTATAAACCTTTGACAGAACAAATGATGAATGGACCTTTACAACACAAATGATGGATGGATAATGACCCATTCGGTTTACACTTTGATCTGATATGTCATGGCATCTAGTAGTCACCATCTGATTGTTTGACATCTTGCTGACGTTGTTAGAGGTGTTATATGTTTCACCCATGGTATTGAGTAAAGTTGTGATGATGAACAATAGTGGCTCTCGTATTAGCCCAGAGGTTGATGTGTGAAGTGTGTTCACTGGTGAGTGATGTCTGTTGATGGTGCTGTATATCAGTAAAATAAACCTCAAGGTAGTTCTTGCATAGTTGCCTAGGTCATTGTGAAGAGAGAGGAGGTAATCAAAATTGTGTGTTCTGGAGATGTTTGGTGATTTCTCTTGAGCTTAGTCATATGTTATTCTTTCCATCTGGTATGACAAAGTCAAATATGCTATTATAATGATAATTTTGTCCTCTGAGGTACTGTGATCTGGTAGTATGCAAATACAAATAACTTTTTGACTCTTCCTTCTGGTTATCTGGTAGATGCATATATCATTTTTAGCACTCATGGATTGGTATTGGGTAGCAACAGTGTTTGAATTATAGTGTTAGCGGTTTGACTGATATAGAGCAGATGGAAATTGAGAGCAAATGGTGAGTTTCTGCATAAATAATTATTAATTATATACTGGTAGAGGGATACGAAGCAGGTTAGTGTGAATCTGGAACATGACACATCGGGCAGATGGTTTGAAGTTGTTTGAAGATTGATTTTACAGGTGAGGGGAGGGTAATTTTCTGGCTTCAATCTCCTGATGATCCTGTTAATACCATGAAAATTGTCACGGATGGACCAAACAGACATGGATGGATGTCCACAAACGCATGTTTGTTTAGGTTGCATTACCAGCTGAGTCGGACATACACGGCGTTTCTTTCAGTATTTTGATGGCTGGCCAGAACAGCAGCGCACACACGGCGGCGGCGGCATTGTCGTGGCTGCCGCTGGCCGGCGCCGGGCGCAGGCCGCGGGACATGACGGCTGGTCGTCGTGTCATCAACGGCACGGGCTGATGCAAAGTGGGCCGCCCAGAGTCCACGCCGCGGAAACGAATGCAACGCAAAGCGGACGGCCCACCGTGTGACAGGAGGGCCGAAGAAGAGCTGAAGGCCGGATTGGCCCACCTATATAAATTCCCTCCCGCGCGTGGGACACTCACATTCACTGTCGCCGTTGAGAAATGGCATTGAACGGACCTATATATGTATAATAAAAAAAAGCGAACTCTGGAGACTACAGAGCGTCGATGGCTGGGAGTCTACCGGAGGAACTGAATAGTTTGGTGTCTGCCAATTTTAACTCGTTTGTTTGTTAGCAGTTTCCAGAGATTGTAACAAGGTTGCTCACGAGTTAGCAATCCTTGCAGCGGTGGAACCAGCGATTTTGATTAAGGGGTTACGGACAAATATGATCACACTTTTTAGTGTAATAAAATATACATAATTATATGTTTCAACAACTTTTTGAAAAAAAAATACACTATTTATAACCAAAATCATAATATTTTAATAAAAAATGGGTGAAAATTGATATTTGTTGTGTTGTAAATTTAAATATTTATATAGGTATTAAAAAAATCTACTGTGCTTTTGGGGGTGGGGGGGGGGTCCGCCACTGAATCCTTGGGTGTGCTTGTAATGAGGGATCTGAGCCAGTTTTGACCTCTCTTCCAGATCATGTAAACGTTGTAATCACCGGTGAACAATCAGCTTATGATTAATGAGAAACCACCCATTATAAAAAAAATGCATTGAACGGAAGAACCGACGAGCAAAACAAAGAAAAAACGGCAATAATAGTCCGAGGGGCAATGGGCCGCGTTGAGCCATAATTCCAAGGGTGGTGGTCTGTGGGCTGCACCAGCATGAGTGGACAAGAGATTACTTCCATACAAAATCGAATGAAGGCAACACACAAAATCACCTTTTCCAGTAAAGCTAAATTTCAAGACTTGCTCTCACTCAAATTTTTCTATCCAATCCAAGGATGTCACATGGTTGGGGTTAGGATTTGGGAGGTTCGTGAGCTTACCTGAATCCGGTAAGCTTAGAGTGCTGAGGGAGAAGCAGGCCGGCCTGGCGGTGTTAGTGGGCGAGGGAGGCGGCGGTGGTGCTACCGGCGGGGCAGTGGGGAAAGGCAGTTGGGCGGGGCACGGGGGGAGGCACGACTGAGAGTCCGAGATTGCCCGATGACCTTCACCAAGTTAGCGTGGTGACGGTCAGAGGCGGCGAGGTGTCACCAGAGCCGGGCGGAGGGGGTGGCAGCGGGTGAGAAGGAGGAGGAGGAGGCGGATTTGATAGACGTAGGTTCAGTTCGTGGTGGTTGGTAGTAGATCCGACTGCGTAGGAGCCGCCGGAGCCCAGCGGGGAGGCAGAGGCAGTGGGGGCGAGCGACGCGTCGAGAGGTTGGGATCGGACAGAGGAAGAATAAGGTGGAGAGAGGTAGATTTCATGTGGGCCCTTTATTGTATATTTAAGGGTGTCAAAAAGGATTAATAAGTGATTATTGTCCTTAAATTACTCGGTTGTTACTCCATCCGTTCCAAATTATAAGAAGTTTTGGCACTTCTAGGTATATATATAGATTTTGATATGTATTTAGATATATATAACTATGCCTAGATACATATAATAAAAATAATGTATCTAGAAAAATCAAAACGTCTTATAATTTGGAACGGAGGAAGTATAAAGACATATTTTTTTTCTAGCAAACACACAAAATCACCTGAGTGGTATTTACGTATCAATATGCGCTCAAACTGATTCTTTGCGGCAGTATACACACATGCACGCACGTACGACGACGAGCAAGCTAGCTATAGCTCTGTGCATGCATGATCCTCCCGCAGAGCAGAGGAAGATCGACACATCAGAGAGAGAACACATGCATGCATGCAGCTCATGCGCATCTGATGCGTTGTATATGTATGTTCCAGATGGGCACAGCAAGGAGAACACATGCATCCTCGTTGTTTTCCTCCCAAAAATTAAAGCCCGTCTTCCAGCTCCGATCCCAGCAGGGACGACGACAGGATCGGACTACAGGAGTGTGGGAGCATGCCATACTGAAAAAGCGCATGCAAATACGGCCAGCTAAGCAAGCAGAGACGACGGGAGTAGAGACGAGAGACTCAGCTCACCAGGTGCGTGGTGTATTGTATACTCCATGGTCGGCAATATAGAATAGTTTGTTTTATGGCTATTTTGAGTTACCATAATGATTGTACTAATTTTCAAGTTTATTATAACATTATGATATTATTATAACTATTATAACATTATGATATTATTATAAGTTATAGTAACACATGTATCATAAATATATGTTTATTTTATCATAAATAAAATAGTATAAATATTATTGTAGATCGAGCTGGCCACAAGATAAGTTATTCTATGATCAGCTATAAATTAGCTTTACGAAAATCATTTCTGCTCCTATGATGTAGCTAGCTACTCCCATATGTGTATCTCAAGATTTATGACGTAATGGCCCGATGAGCTATTTCTATGTGGAGTATGTACTAAACCATCTGAGCTATTATGTAGGTCAAGTATGCATCAAGTATACGTAGAATATGTGGTTATACTTATTTTATATACTGTTATGGTGCTATTATAATAATATACTAAAAATGTGAGCTTTGTTGAATTTTTTAGCATAATAATGGTCTTTTTTGTGGCATGGCTCCGG